GAGAGAGAGGGAGAAGCAGACTCTCTGCTGAGCAGGGAGCCCGATGTGGGACTCGACCCCAGAACCCTGGGATCATGACCTGAGCCCAAGGCAGTCGTTTAACTGACTGAGCCACCCAGGCACCCCCTGTTATTTCTTTTATAATACATTTATGAATAGTTAATATTAGAGAGATTGAGATTACTTAAACCGTTCCATCACGAAAATACTGTGATTGTCAAGATAATCTTTCTTCAGACATTTTATCTGTCTTTGATAAAATTTCGGCATTAAACACTTGTACTCAGAAAGCTTTGATATCGAGATATTTACATTGTAAGAAATGAAGCCCAGTTATCCTCAACACATGCGAATCTTTGCTTAGGATGCATAGTCAATCCTCTTTTCATTCTATTACATCTTCCCTCCACCCACTCCCAAGACTGGAAAGAACAAAATCTGTGATTGATATATTATGTCCAATTTAAAACATGCTAGTATCTTGAAACAATCACTTTTGATAACTATAAAAGCAAAATCTCTAAGACATTTATGTACTCTAGGCCTTTCAATTCAGCAAAAACTTGAACTAGATAATGCATTCAAGGATCTCATTTGCCACTGAAATCTGCACAGGTATCATGAGTTATGCCTGCCAATGACAAGAAAGAAAATGAAGGGGAGTTCCTCTGAAAAAGGACCACTTTTTACATTGTTTAGAATTGTAACAAAGGTTATTTTTAAAAATCCTCAAACATGGATTTAGGAGCAAATGAGCCTAAAATTTTAATAGGTATTGAAAGTTTATTGCTATAAGATAAATCCAAAGAGGAAAAATCCTTTTATAAGCCCCATGTTGATGTTCTGACACAGTCCAAACCTGTATTAAAATTAATGTAAGCCTTCTCTATAATGAGAGCACAGAATTGTGGCACCTTAATAATAAAACAGTTATATTTTTTAACCTCTCATTCTATCCTCATATGAGTTTAAGCTGTAACAGCAATGGAATAAAACAACTCCCAAAAAAAGATTGCAAATTGATGCTGTCACCCCAAGGATGATGGATTGATTCAATTAATCAGTAAGTCTTTTCTAAGAGTCCTTCAGGGAGTTATTTACCAGAGGCATACCCTGTTTATTCCCCTCCCATGTGCCTGTCATTTTTCTTCATTATTCTTCTAGTTTTACTCATTATATCCTTTGGGGATATGTTGATCTCCACGTGCAGAGAGGTTTTGCACACTGCTGTCTAGACATAAATCTTCTGAGCCTCAAACTAGAGGCCACCAGAACACCTGAGCCTCTTGTCATTGTTATCTCAGGCTGACCAAAACTCTCAGGATGAAGGCGAGCAAACGGACACTGAGTTACAAATGATAAGTCACTGAGAACCTATTAAACTGAGTGAAGACTATGAGAATTCCTCCATTGGCAAAGTTGTAACAACTCTGTGTTGCAGACACCCATGACATTAGACGTCCATCTGCAAAAGCAGATAGATAGGGCGGAGCCGGAGGGGTGAGAGGCTGGGGCCTATGCTAATAATTCATAGAAAAACAACCAAGATTCGGTATTTGTATTGTTTTGAGTGCTGAAAGGCAAATACTCGTTTTGGTTTTTTTTTAAAGATTTTATTTATTTATTTGACAGAGAGAGACACAGCGAGAGAGGGAGCACTAGCAGGGAGGAGTGGGAGAGGGAGAAGCAGGCTTCCCGCCAAGCAGGGAGCCCGATGCGGGGCTCCATCCCAGGACCCTGGGATCATGACCTGAGTCGAAGGCAGACGCTTAACCACTGAACCACCCAGGCGCCCCTGAAAGGCAAATATTCTTAGACATGACACATTTCCATTTCTAATGAGCCAGATATCTGCTAAATCTTGTTATCAGGGGTGGCTACACAGTTTGTGAGACCCAGTGAAAAAAGAAAATGTGAGGCCCTTGTTCAAAGAGTAGGAAAAAAGTGCTACTAAAGGTACTAAGATAGGGACACCTGGGTGGCTCAGTTGGTGAAGCGTCTGCCTTTGGCTCTGGTCATGATCCCAGGGTCCTAGGATCGAGTCCCCAATTGAGCTCCCTGCTCCGCGGAGAGTCTGCTTCTCCCTTTCTCTCTGCCCCTTCCTGCTGCTTGTGCTCTCTCTCTCTCTCAAATAAATAAATAAAATCTTAAAAAAAATAAAGGTACTGAAATATAACAATTTTTCCTTGGGGCCCCTGGGTGGCTCAGTCAGTTAAGCATCTGACTCTTTATTTTTTCTTTTAAGATATTATTTATTTATTTGAGACAGATAGAGAGAGGGAGAGAGAGAGAGCACAAAGGGTGGGGAGGGGCAGAGGGAGAGGGAGAAGCAGACTCCCCGCTGAGCGAGGAGCCCCATGTGGGTCTTGATCCCAGGACTCTGAGATCATGATCTGAGCCAAAGGTAAACGCTTAACAGACTGAGCCACCCAGGCGCCCCAAGTGTCTGACTCTTGATCTCAGCTCAGGTCTTGATCTCAGGATTGTGAGTTCAAGGCCCGCAAAATAAAGGTTTTTTCCTTTATTTATTTATTTATTTATTTATTTATTTATTTTTCAGATTTTTTTTTTTTTTAAGTAATCTCTACACACAGTGCAGGGCTCAAACTCATAACCCTGAGACCAAGAGTCACATGCTCTGCTGACTAAGCCAGGCACCCCAAAGACTTTTCCTGTAAAAGTATTTTATTATTTATAAAACATAATAAAGGTAAATAGTAACACATAAATAACAATATAAAATATAAATAATAAAAAATATTTTTGGTGTCATCATTTTAAATAATACAATGAATATACTTTATTAATGAGACATCTTGGATCATAAGATGTTTGACCCACCTTTCTACAACTTAATATTGAGTCATCAGAATGTATACTTTCAACCAGTTAACTTGCAATCACTATAAATGAATGTGAAGTCAGTCACTCTGGCAAAAGCATCACAACTTTTGATGATTTTTATAAAATTATTTTTTTTTTATAATTTTTAGTCTTGAGAAGAATCTTCCTGCTGCTTCCACTGTTAATAGAACCATGAAGAACATTTTATAAACCGTGACAGCACTGAGATAAATTTCTGATTGATTACTTTTAAATACAAATTTTAATCATTTGAGTTAATGGTTCACAGGACAAGTTTTCTAAAAAGACTTCATAAAAATCACTTTCGTGTAAGTCTGAGTCAAATTTTAAAGAAAAAAAATTTACAGTAGCATCTTAATGTTTTCTCTGACATTTCCTGTGACTTACTGTTCAAGAAACTGAAAATGGCTTCATGGTTTCCGTGTACTTGAAAACACCCACTTAAGTAATCTATTGCTATATATATTCATTTACAAGAAAAATAATTTTAAAATGGCCTTTCTCCTTAATTATTTGCTCATCTGAAGCATCATGTGAAAAGAGAGTTATTTTCTGTCTACCACTACTGCTACCTTTCCTTTTTATGGGTAAGCCTGTGGATTTGTTTGACAATATTACTGCAGTTCTCAAAGCCATAGCCTCCGAGCTCTTTGCGTAATTCTAATAACTCTCTGATATGCTTTATTAAATGTCGATGTGTACACTTCCATCTGACAATAATTTACTGACAACGCTTACTGCCCGAGCACCAGCCGTCGCCGTCCCAGCGAAGCCGCAGTGTACAAGCGCGCACGAGCCGCGGGGGGGAGCGCTTCTGGGGAATTAATAGGTAAGTTGGCCTCCCCCAGTTCCTAGGGCCACCCAGGGCCCCTGCTCTCCCCCAGGGGTAAAGCAGCCACTTTTGCAGCCCTTGCTGCCACTGTAACCACTGGCCCCGGGTCACTGCCCAGCCCAGCAGCTCTCTCCACTGCCCCGAGATGCGCCAGACCAATGGCCGTGCGGCTGCACGCTGTGCCCAGGGGCCTGGGCCAGTGCCCTCCGGTACTACTGCTCGATCACAAGCAGTCATGCAAGCTGTCACCCCAGGGTATCTTGTCTGCTCACCACATGCTCAAGAAAAATATATTAAGAATTCCACGAAGAGGAGAGTAGGACATTAAGCCAAGCGCCAGACTCCTCTGAGCGCGGGGACCATGTGCAATGAGGCATGTCACATGCCCTCCCATGCTTAACGCTAGGTAGCCCTGCTTGCTACAGAAGCCGAGAGTAAAAAATTCTACATCTACCCCTACTTCAAACTTACCCCCATTTTGTTACTGGAATAAAAGGAACTAGGATATTTCATTTATTATTAAAAATAGGCGGGGCGCCTGGGTGGCTCAGATGGTTAAGCGTCTGCCTTCGGCTCAGGTCATGATCCCAGGGTCCTGGGATCGAGTCCC